GGGCGCTCGCGGGACCGGGCTGGGCGCGGGGCGGCAGCGCCCTCTGGGGACGGGCGCTGGGACCTCGCGGGGCGGGGCCGAGGAGTGCGGACGTAGGAGGGTGGGTGGGATCAAGTGTCCAGGGTGGCGGCCTCTCGCCCTCGCTTGGTGAATGCCAACCAAGTCACAAAAGTAGCCTGCGGAGCTTTTGGCGAGGATAATTCCTAATGATTCCGTCACCCAGCCGCGAAGCCCCCTTCGGCTTCTCTGCTCACATCCTCTCCTTGAAAGGATGTTTTGCGCTCAGACTGAAAGAATAACAGCTAACATGTTGGTGACAATGAAAGTGACCAGAGCTTCCAAGCACCTTAGAGAACTTAAGTAATTTGCCACATGGCTAGGAAGTAGGGAAGCTGCATTTTCATCCAGGCCATTTGGCTTATAAGCCCCAGCGGTTAGCCACATGGCAGACTGCTTTCCTGTCCCAATGTTCCATAATCCACCTTTCTCTTCCCCTCCTCTGAGCATATCATCAAACATCCCCTTATATTATTATTAAGTTTTTAATATATGTATGGATCATCTCCCTGGGATTATGGGAGGCTACCTGAGCATGGGTCCATGCCCTAAATGTCCCGATATCCCCCTTGGCACCCCCCAAGTCCTATTGTACTGCCTTGCACCTGTAGCTATGAAATCCACAGTGGTTGAATGGAATAGAATAAGCTTCGGTGGTCTCCCATTTATAGATACATTGGTTGAGCTTGGGAAATTCTTTGGGAGCTTCGACTGCATTTCCCAATGAAAATATTTTATAAATGGCTTTCTAAGGCAGCTCCTCTTCTGCCTGGTGTTCCCATGAGGACCATTTTCTGTTCCAAAATCTACTAGGGAATCTGGAAGCCCCCAAAGACCTCGATCGGCTCCAACTCGGTGGGCGAATTTGACTGCGTAAACCAGCCTGAATTCAGGACCCTGCTCACGGCCTGCTTCAGCTGCCAAAACCCAACCTGGCCGAGAGAGTGGGGGAGGCAGCTTGGTCACCTCCCCCGAGAGCACCTCTGCCTTCCAAAAGCTGCCCCACCCCTTGCCCAGGCCAAGCTGCAGTCTGACCTCCACTGACAGCTCTCCTTCCTCCAAAGAAACCCCTGTGGATCTCAGTGTCCTCATTTGTGAAGTGAGACCTGTGGGCTAGACACTGTCCAAGGTAGGACTGTCCTTTACGTGGGCCATTTGTGTAGGCCTAAACAGGTGATTGCATAGAGTATAGTATAATGATAAAAGGTTGGTGTTGGTATGTTTTAACAGAAGTAGAACTGAATTTCGAAAAGAAAAGCAAGAAATCTCAAATGGTGTTCTATTTGGAGCAATCAGGGACCACACTCAATGACCTATTAGTAAATGGATGGATGTATATTTCCTGAGCCCTGGGTCACCAGAACAAAAGAGATTGTATAGTGGGTATGGGTTATACAGTAGTATACAGCTATGGTTTTCAAACGGCCAAAGCAAGGGCACTCTTGTTTCAATCAATATCTCATACAGGAGCCCAATTTATATAACATATACAGAACATATGCAAAGGGTATATTATAAGCCGAGATTAGTATAAAATCAGGCATTGAGACAAATGAGGCTCTTTTGACGAACCCAGATCTGTGTAGCAGGGATCATTGTCACCTTACATCGGCCTCAGGATTCCAATTTTCTTTTGCACGTTGTTTTGGTTGTACAGTATCAAGACAATTCTGATTTGCATGGGTAAGCAGTAATTTTTTACTCCTACGGTTTTACATCCAGCCTTTTTAAAGGCCAAAACACAGCTACAATCTTATGAATCAATGACCCATTTACAGGAAGTTAACAATATGTGCAGAGATGGCCGGAGAAACTGGACACTGAAGTCTGCATTCTAACAAGGAACTGTAGAGCAGGTTAGCTCATTAATCTCCTTTGTGATAAAATTTGTATATAAACACATTTGGATATGTATGTGTGTGTTACCCTTGAAAATGTACCAAAAACCAAAATAAAAATGAACATCACCAATAATGAGATACACTGATCTCATGAGTGATGTGATCTCCTAAAACAGACATAACGTCACTCACCTACTGGATATACATCAACTGAATCTAATCATGAAGAAATACCAAATAAACCCACATTAGGGGGCATTCTACAAAACAACCGATCCGCACTCTTCAAAAACATCAATGGCGCCGAAACCGGTTTGGCTCAGTGGATAGAGCGTCGGCCTGCGGACTGAAAGGTTCCAGGTTCGATTCCGGTCAAGGGCATGTACCTGGGTTGCGAGCACATCCCCAGTGGGAGATGTGCGGGAGGCAGCTGGTCGATGTTTCTCTCTCATCGATGTTTCTAACTCTCTATCTCTCCCTTCCTCTCTGTAAAAAATCAATAAAATATATTTAAAAAAAAAACATCAATGGCATGCATGAAAGACAAAGAAAGGCTGAGCCAGGTTAAAGGACCCCAGAGAAACACCACAGCTAAAGGCAATGTGTGACCTGGACTGGATCTCATACTAGAAAAAGGTAAAAGATGTTATTGGGAGAATTGGTGAAATTTGAATACAGACTGTGTATTAGTTAGTTTTCCTGAATTTGATCATTGTGCAGTGGTTCCGGACCAAAATGTCTTTGTTCTTAGGAGATACACTCCAAAGTATTTAGGTCTAAAGGGTATGGTGGCTCAAGTTGTTTGGCAAAGATAATAATAATGTGTTGGATATACCCATAGGTAGACAGATGGATAAAGCAAATGTAAACAATTGGTGAATATATAGTTAAAGAATATATGGGAGCTTTTTTATAGTTCTGTAACTTTTCTTTAAGTTTTAAGTTATTTCAAAATATAAAGTTAAAATCAAATAATGGTCTAAAACTGTTAAAAAATTTAAAAACTTTATTTAAAATAATCTTTGAGAAACCAAATAATGCTTAAACATGAAAGTCACAACAGGCGTTTACAGAACTGCAAAACCAGAACACACTTTGAAAACTGATAGAGAATATCTGTTAGCTCTGGTTGCCATTGCTGTGCTAGGAGATTGTAAACACTGAGGGAACAATCCTAAAAGCACAAATAATGTAATGTTTGCTTTAGTTGTCAAATACAGCCATATGCCCCAGACAGGGTACATCCTGCTCTCTGCCTGAAATTCTTTCCTGCTGTCAGCCTTCACCGCTGTGGCCTAGCTAACTTCTGCTCATCCCTTAGCTCTCAGCCTCAACGTCACCTCCTCCAAGAAGGCTTCCATGATCTCTTAAGCCAGGGTTAGCTGTCCCTCCTTTGTGCCCCCACAGCACCCTGGAAGTGTCACTCCTGTTATAGCTCATTGTCCATCTCTCATTAGACTGAGAGGGCCATGAGGGCTGGACACAGTGTCTGTTCTGTTTTCGGATGTAACTCTGGCACCTAGTAGCACAGTGCCTAGTGTGTGAAGCTCTTAATAAACACCTGCTTGATAAATGAATATGGGTTGGTCTCTGATGTGTGGTTTATGTGATGTGAGGTTGTAAATCCACCCCCTTGGTTGATCTTCTGCATTGAAATCAGTCTTTGTGCAGCATTTATCTCCTTCTTGTCTCCTGCCCCTAGAAGCAGGTCTCAGGGCTGCTCACTTCTCCCCTGGGGCCAGGCCTGCACACTCTATGTTCACACTGAACAGAAGCTGCTGTTGGGAAAACACTTCTGTAGTTGACGGCTGCTGTAGAGGATCTGCTCCGGGTGATCCATGAAAATCAACTCTGAATCTTCCACAGCAAATATTTGCCCCCGCTCTACCTTCCCAGCATGCTTCTGGGCTGCCCCACCCTCCCTCTCTTTACCAGGTGCTCTGCATCCAGGAAGACAGCTCATCGCAGCCTGAGTCCTGCCAGACCCAGGCAGGAAGGCCGGGAAAAGCAGTCACATTGTTAGCCCCAGTTATTCCAGAGCAGAAGTAGGAGGGCACTTTTACGTTGCAGAGTAACTTCATGATGCACTCACGGCCTTATAGCCATGAAATGGAACTCTCTGCCTTAGATATTATTCAAAACGTACTTTCTCCTCTTTCATGCCTATGGCTGGGTTTGAACTAAGAATGACTCATTCAAGGTATGTTCTCTATGGTTAAAGGAGCCTACATTTTTGAAGTAAAAACAGACCCAACCGTTGCCTCCCTGTTGTCAACATATTGCCCGCCTGTGGACTGCTCCCCGACTTCACCTCCAGCTCCCCCACCCTTGCCTTTTACAGTATAGACATCCCACATGACACAGGAAAGGGCATTTTCATAGCAGGGATCATGGGCATTAACCACCCTGAAAGCCCAGGAATTGACTTAAGAATTTCATCTTCTCACCTCTAGTTATTAAAGACAGAAGATCAGCCAGCCAATGACTGATCCAGGGTGCTGTGGGGCCACAGAGGAGGGCACAGACCTGGTTCTGGGTTCCAGGGATTTCTGTCCCTATGGCCCAGCTGCGCTTACCTGTGACAGCGTTGAGTTGGGGACAAGGATCTTCCCTTAGCTCTTTGGATGGCTGATACTTGCAGGCAGAGCTCCTTTTAATATAATCAAACTAAGCACAGAGAAAGTTGGGAGATGCCCGCGAAGAGGGGGAGGAGATGGAGGAGGAAGGAGAGAAGGAAGGGGCTGCTTCTGCCAGGGTCACAGGGCAGCAGGCGAACAGTAACAAGCACTGGTTCTCAGTGTTTAGGTTTCGCCAGCCTTTGATGATAACGTGTGGACTTTGGCTCCCAAGACAAATGTATCAAGCACAAACACAAAGCAATTTGCACGTGGGCTCCTACCCCGTACCCTCTTCCCCATTCTGACAACCTAACCCTAAAGAAATGAGACAAGGGGAAAGTTTCAATGATTTAAAAGTAGAATCCAGCCCACCTGGTGTGGCTCAGTGGTAGGGCATTGATCTATGAACCAGGAGGTCACAGTTCGATTCCCAGTCGGGGCATATGCTGAGTTGGCTCCATCCCCAGTGGGGGGCATGCAGGAGGCAGCTGATCAATGATTCTCTCTCATCATTGATGTTTCTATCTCTCCCTCTTCCTTCCTCTCTGAAATCAATAAAAAATATTTTTTAAAAAAGTAAAAGCAGAATCCACAGAATCTAGGAGACCTCAGAGGCCGTGCAATCCAATATCCCACCCAAGGCCTGAATCCCCTCTACAGTGTGCCTGGACTGGCCTGGACCATTTGACTTATTAGGCCACCCCCACCCTCTGCAGGTGTCTCCACAAAAAGCAGATTCCAACACCCTTTCACTCAGTTTGACTCCTGAATCACTGCCCAGACTCACTGCATGCCCTATATGCCAACCAGCTCCCAACCGTCCTTCTTCTGCTCTTGTTACTCATTATCCCTATTTATGAGCTTGGGATGGCCTTCGGGTCTAATGTTCCACTGAGATAGGACCAGGGTCAAGTGCATCATAATCCAGGAGGGCTGCCAAGGTCATCGCCAGTTAAGGAAGAGCCTCCCATTTTTCTTGAGTTGACCTGCCTTTTAGAGTTGCTATCCACAGAATCCTGAATCTCTTTTATCTGACCTCTTGGAAGTCTGCCTTCTCCATGTCTAAGGAAGGTCTGTGTCCGACTGTGCTTATCTCTCAGCCACGTCATAGTCACTTTCTCCTGGTGTTCCCATTCTTGCCAAGTCTCTAATGAGCTCTTCTGAATAGGATTCGGTTCAGGGTGGCATTTTCCCATACAGGGGTGGTCCATTGGCATCTAGACTTTAGGTACCTATAGCAGAGGCTTAGGATGGGGCTTGGGCATCTGTAATGAGGACACCCGGAGTTAGACACATAAAAAGACTAACTCCCGAGAGTAGGGTTGCCTGGGAGACCGTGGCCATTACATAAAAGTGGCTGCTTTCTCTGTCACAGAAGAGAGCCTACGATTTTGAGTTTCCCGCCTCACGCTCCTCCTTTCAGGAACGTAACACCAGCCTGCTTTCGGCTCTACGCCTAGCATCCCTGAAGGATTCCGAGAGCACTCATCTCTTGCAGGTGCAATCGCCAGTCCCTTGTTTTATTGGGAAAGAGTGCGTTCCAGCTCTCCCTGTGAAATCTCTGGGGAGCACACACGTGCCTGCAGGCAGGGCTCTGAGCTAAGAGGGTAAGGATTACACCTCCCACGTGCACTTCCATTGCTGATGTGGCCAAAGGTTCCCTAAGAGGAACACATATTCCAGCCGAAAAGGTGGGCCAGCTCAGCCTGTGGGAAGACCAGGGGAAAGAAAAAGGAGGCCAAGTTCGGTGACCTGGGGAAAATCCTAAAACAAGAGAGTTGGGACTCCGTGAAATGTTCTAATGGCCAAGGCAGGTGTCATGTTCGGGGCCCTGGGTGTGCTCTCTACTCCAGCCAGTTCTGACACAGGAGTCCTTCTTCACACGCTGAGCTCCGGGAGAGGCGCGTGCCGGTGGCTTCTGTTCCCTGGATCTGCCGCCGGCTGCTATCATCTCCCCTTGGCTTCCTTTCTGTTGGCAAATACTCTGCACACCTGAGCTCTCGGTGTCTCCCTCTCTTGTATCTGTTGACAGGCAATCTGTAAATTGATTCTTTTTTTTTTTTAATCCTCGTCGGAGGATACTTTTTCCATTGATTTTTTAGAGAGAGTGAAAGGGAGGGGAGAGACAGAGAGAAACACTGAAGGGGGAGAGACACATCGATGGGCTGCTTCCTGCATGTGCCCCGGCTGGGGCTGGGGATTGAGCCTTTTACCGAGGTACATGCCCTTGACCAGAATTGAACCCGAGACCCTTCAGTCTGCGGGCCAATGCTCTAACCACTGAGCAACCAGCCAAGGCTGTAAATTGTTTCTTTTTTAAAAAAATATTTTTATTGATTTCAGAGAGATTTCAGAGAGAAAGGGAGAGAGAGAGAGAGAGAGAAACATCAATGATGAGAGAGAATCACTGATAGGCTGCCTCCTGCACACCCCACACTGGGGATCGAGCCGGCAACCCAGGCATGTGCCCTGACCAGGATTCGAACCGTGATCTCCTGGTTCATAGGTGGATACTCAGCCACGGAGCCACGCCAACTGAGTTGTAAATTGATTCT